TTAATTTAGCTGTTTTTAGGATGTTAACTTAAACAATGCATTGCTTGGTTAGAAAAACTCACCTCAGTTAGGCCACTGTTTGTTCCTGTGCCCTCAGAGGACCACAGACCTCCCTCCTGAGAGAGAGAGAGAAAATACATGTTAATCACTGGTATTCATTCACTTACTTCACTTGACCTACTGAGCAGTTTTACTTTCATTTAAACACGTTTATCAATGTATCTCATCAAGTCTGTAGTAAATTACATTACTTTGATGAAGTAATTAAAATAATCAAACTATTTCTTACATTTATAACAGGGTAACTAGTAGTTTGTACCCTTTTACATTTCAAAAGTAACCTTCCCAGCGCTAAATACAGCAAACACAAAACCGAGCTGCCTGGGACACACTGATCCACTAGAGGGCTGCACTGGTGCACAGCAAACACTTACTGCCATCATGTTTCTTCCCTCTATCCCTCAAAAGGCATTGTCTTAGCTGCTCTTATTGCAATATTTTTAAACTTTGGCAATACTGAAAAATGTGAATTCTCAAATTTCACGTCACAAGAGTGTTGGACAGTTTTGCTTGTGTCTTTTTATTGCTGCGAATCATACGACCTTTTGCTGTGCTAATGTAAGTTCCATTTAATGACATTAACAACTGTGAGGTGACACCTCTACAAATTCCCATCAGTCCACACACAGATCTGTAACAGTCTGGACATCCATCCATCTTCTATCCTGAAGATGGCTGCGGGGGGCTGGAGCCAATCCCAGCTGACACTGGGCGAGAGGCGGGGTCCACCCTGGACGGGTCACCAGTCTGTCACAGGGCTGACATGTAGACAAACAACCACACACATTCAGGAGAACACAGGCTCCACACAGAAAGGCCCCGGGTCGGCCGGGACACAAACCCGGAACCTTCTTGGAACACATTACATAATGAGCTTGGATGGATTTCTTTGCCAGATTGAGCACACTCTGCTAAGGAAACTGAAATCAGTTGTGTCTGGCACTGAGGGGAAGACAAAAGATGGTCTTGACTTCTATCAAAATATCTGGAAGAAACTTTTTGTCTTCTCTGGTTCCTGTTTCCTGCTCCTCTGTCTCACTGTATCTGTGCCACTGTGTCTGTCTGCTAATCCAGACTAACTAGGACGCTTTGAGTCTCCTGAGCTTTTCAGTAGCTCTCTGTGTGTGCGTGCATGTGTGCACTCATTTATGTCTCATCCTTTACTCATATCTTACTTGCAGACTGGAGACACGCACACACACAAACTCATCCGTTATTCAGTATCAGGTGATTAATGGAGCACAAGTGAAGTCATACAAAGTCTCTGGTGTAAATCAACGTGCCTTTCTCAAAATAGTTTGTCATGATCAGCTGTAGCCTTTAAATGAGTCAGTGTGTTAGCATTAGCCTGGAGCAGTGTTTAATCACATGGTGTCGCTCAGCATTCTTCAAACTCTTTCTTCTGATTTTTTTATTAAAGGTGTAGTCAGCGACTCTAATTCATCACACATTTTGTCATACTCAGTTTTCCTCCCGTTCTTCTGCCTGGCCTTTCAGTCTGTGTGCTCTGTTCTGTAATAGGTGAGAAAGAGGATCCGAGTTGGGCCGACTAATTTCAGGCAGTCAGCACAAGGAGCGGTCTTGCTTGAGCATAGCATGGTGTGTGTGATGTGGCTCGGTTAGAAAATTTCATTAAACGTAAAAGTAAAAGGGAGAGACAAGCTCCAATGTTTCCCTTAAAGCCTACACAACTAAACAACTGAGAAGGACACAAGCACAAAACTTAAAAAAAGGAATATAAACATTTATCAGGAAAGGCCAGATTTTGAAGTACTTTCAAACCTAAACCTAAAATGATTTGTGCCTTTCTAAAGTAAAAATACACAAATGTTTATTTTGTGGTGCAGAAGAGCACATAGGTAAGCAGGTTCCTGGTTTCTTAAATGCCCTGTGATGAACCACAAACCTGTTTTCCATAGAAAGGAAAAGATTATTACTTGTGGAGGTGCATCCTCATATTCAAAATTGCTTAATTCAGGGTTAGGTGTTAGGGTTAGGGTTGGCCCTAAGTTCAGCTAAAACTCAAAAAGACACTAAACACAGCATCATGTTGTGTTCCACAGCCAAACATCGGAATTCTTCCATTAACCTGGTTTCTCATGCGCCACCCAGGAAACAGTATGGTCAGATAAAAAATGGAAACAAAGATGTCACCTATGAATTTTCACATCTGTAGATATAAATATACAAGTAACACGACATGTTGGAGGAAGAGCACATGCACACGTAGAGCTACAGCCGAACGACAGTCACTGAAACCGGACAGCCTTTGTATGATTGAATGAACAGAAAAAAGGTGCACATCAGGTGTTGGCTTCAAAAGGGGAATAATTTGCATATAATGAAGTAAAGCTCAACTCAGATTTCAACCAGAGTAAACTTTGCTTGGGTTCATTCCAGCTACAAGAGCTGAGATACTTCAGGTGTAAATGTGGTGTCTGACTTACGTTGGCCAGCGGCAGGTGTCTCCTGCGTGTGGGGGCGTGTCTGGAGAGGAGGGAGCGTGCTGACAGGCGGTAGGGGGTCAGCAGACAGGGGATAACCACCAATCACCACCACGATCACCAGGATCTGGACGAACTCCAGCTGGGCTGCAACCACAAACATCCAAACTCTGTTTAGGATTAGCAACAATATGTTGTTCTTTCATGTGTTTCTCCTTGTGGTTTAAATAGTTTTTGTTCATCACTGAAGGTCAAGCACAGAGGAATATATCAAGCTGGGCTTCCATGGACTAATAGTGATGATCATTTAGAAACAATATGAACTTAGTATCTTACATTAGAGAAGAATACAGTAGCTTTAGGTTGATTATATTTATTTATATATTATCTGTTGGGCAAACCCCTGCTGTCAAAGCAGGAGTTTACCACTAACATGGCGTCTGATTCTAAACGATTAGACTGTAAAGTGTCAATACAGCAGCTGTGAGAGAGAAAAGGTTTTCAGACTGAGTGCAGACATAGATGTCGTCCTTATGGAGAGGTCACACACACACACACACACACACACGCACACGTGGCCAGACAGACAGGGCTAGCTTTGTTTAAAGACAGTCTGTTCTAACACCCCCCTGCCTCCACCAGCACCACACACACACACACACACACACACACACACACAAATGGAGCATTTTCTCACACTTTTTTTCCACAGGGAGCAGCCGGAGGTCATGGCCAAGCCAGACAGAGGAACACAAAGTGTCCTGCACACAAACAGACTGGTTTTCAGACAGTTCACACCAGTTCTCACAGTCTCACACAGCATCAAGGTGGTTTTGTGAATTCAACCCTTATGTATTATTCTGGCCAAACACAGCAGCAACAACACCATTCCTCTTTAATGTCAGGCTCCACCACACAACCCTGCAAAGTGACCAGAACATATTTTACAACAAACAACAACCTGACAATCAGAGCAGAACTAACAGAACCAAAACTCTCATAATATCATAGCTACGAGTAGAACTTACACCAAAGTCTATGTCATATTGTATCACTATATAGTACATTTCCTGGAAGGCCAGGTAGCACTTCTCTACAATTTGAAGCTTTAACTAATGACTTAAGACTGATCAAAATAATGTACAATCTAAATAAATATAGCAAAATACATCCATTCGTTTTATGAGAACTCTCTCTGGCTGGTGTTTACTCCCTGACAGGACACTTGCTTTGTGTTTTTAAACAAGCAGACCCGTCCAGTCGCACCATGCACCTTCTGGAAAAGGGCTGCTGGACATGTGCATCTCATATTCATGATTTACTGTTATTTCTGCGTTTACTTTATAAACCAGTAAACATTTGAAAATGCATTACTGGCATTTATGGCCACATTCAAATGAAACTGAAAGGATGAAAACCCATCAGAGAATTTCACAAGCGGGCGGCCCAAGTGTTGCCACGCTGATGCATTCAAATTGTTTGTTTCTGTCACAACTCTGAAAACCAAAGATATAAACCAGAGAAAAGCAGCAAATTGCCATATTTGAGATACTGAAACCAAAGAACTGCTGCCATTTGTGCTTGATAAGCGACGTGCATCACATCATCTGTTATTCAGCTGATGGATTTTTTGCCTACTGTGATATGAAACATGCATTTAAAAGCAAAAACTTAAATAACCTCCCTCTACTTCTGCTTCTGTCGCCTGCAGTACTCTGAAAAAACACGCTGAAGATCAGATGAGAAGAAGATCAGAGCCAAACGGTGCCGACTGATCAAAGACAGACTTTCCCGTCTGTGCACAGAGATGACAGACTCACCACAGAGCTGGGTCTGAACACAGCTGTCATGGCTGTGGCTCCCTGATGGAGGCTGCATGGTCCCGTCACTCCACAAGACCGAGGCTTCCTCTCCTGTTCTAGATGTTTGTATTCCACTGACTCTAAGTGTACAAGCCAACAAAATAACAAAAATAAAAGAAAGGAAAACAAAACTTCCTGCTGCAGTGAAACTCCAAACTACACGTCCTGCAAACGCTACAGCGCCGCGCGTGTGTCCTGGCCAGCCGGCACGCACACTCTAAGCCTCGGTCAAGCTTTGTCTGCAACTTTTTCTCACACATTCCCACACACTCACACGTAGGGAGGGAAGAACAGCTGACCAGACACCCCCCCACCCCAAATGCTGTGAACAAAAGGGGGTCAATGTGTGTGTGGGTGGGGGAGACAGAAAGAAACAAGTGGGGGAGTGGTGGGAGCGTCTGGGAGAGACAGATGGCTCAGAGGGATGAACGGAATAATGATGAGAGACACAGGGATGAAGTGGGGGGGCAGAGACCGAAGGCCGAAGGTTGAGCTTCCCTACTCAGTAGGAGGTGAAGGGCAATAGAAACCAGTAAACTTTAGAAAGCGGGTGAATCCTCCATGTAGACTGTTGGTCACAGGAAGCTTCTCAGCCGAGTCCACAGCTCTGATTCTGCACGTGTCACTATTAAACTGCAGAGCAACATCAGGACAACACATGAGAATGATACACAAACGGTCTCGTATTTACAGCGTAGAGCAGATGAAGACGCTGTAGGGTTTGATCAGTGGGTGGGGGGGGCAGTGTGTGACCGGCCTCATAGCATACACACATCAGCAGCTATGAAGATATTAAACTGAAAACATTAGAGAAGTTTTTCACAACTGTACTTATATTTAATACAACAGGAAAACAAAGGGAAGTGTGAAGAATGAAAGCAGGAGAGATGACAGAGAATAACTGTCACTGTAGAAGGTAAAACACTGTTAAATGGCACATTTAACATGAATGTATATGATTACAATACAAATAGGATTATTATATTAATATGTTACTAAATAGTGAAGTAAAAAGTACAGTGTTTGCCTTTAAGTCAAAACATGACGTAGCACAAAATCAAATACTGAAAATACAGATGCCTCAAAAATGTATTTGAGTATAGTTACTAGGTTACATTCCACAGTGGAACATATGGATGTTAACACAGTAGGAAGTAGCAGCAGGAACCGCCCTTCTAGCTGAGCACAGCTACATGTCGTGGTACATTACATGTGGTTTTGGCTCTTTGGGTTAATCTCGCTAACCTGAGTCTTGACAGCCGTGTTGGCGCCAGGGCACTTGTCTGCCTTTGTAGTTTCCAAATAAATGTGATTCATAGCTGTTTTTCACCGCAGACATTTTGGCTCGTTATAGCAAGTACGCCACAGATGGAACAAATAACATTAGTGATGTCTCAGCTGCTGTTAATGTACAAGTACCCGTGTTTGATTCAAAAGATCTGTGTGCTGTGATTTTTCTAATTTAATTCCACAGTTTCCCACCGAAACCCTAACTTAACCAAAAGCTGTTTCCATTCAGCTTGTCCGTTTCATCGTGTCATAATTCACATACTAACACAGTCCATGGGACCAGCAGACTCTGTGCTTGAGTTTTAGACCACGTCGTTTAGTTGTGATGGTTTTGTTAGGGGGCCGGGGACTGTGTTATGTCAGTGAGTGTCCTCACGCAGATAGCTGCAGAGGAGTGGGTGCCAGCCTGTGGCGCACCCCGTCAGCTCACAAACGAGGAGGTCAGTGGGTCAGTCAGCAGACCTCCTCCCTCCTTTTTCTTGTCCTCTAATTTTCATGCTTGGTCTTTCTCTCATCTTCCATTTCCTCCTGTGTCTGAGCTCACTCCTTCCATGCTGCACACAAACAGGGAAATCATTCACTCCTTATATTTCTGTCCAGATGTTATGCACATTAAGTGAATTTCCCCGAGAAGGTGTAACAAAATTACATAATAGCAACACACCACTTTTTCCACTTCAGCTGTGCAGAAAAAAACATTTTTATGCAGATTCATAATGTGGACACGCAAATGCTAATGCACTTTCTTTTCTTTCACTCTTGTCTTTTCTGTCTCCCTCTTTATCCTAATTTCATCTCTTCCCTTCATATTGAAAAGCTTTTATTGGTAACACCAAATAATTTTTAAAGCAAATGTGCTGTGCAGAAAACATCCTTAAGGCCAAAACACACTACAGTGACAATATGCAATAACGCTGGTTCTTCGGTACGCAGAGCACGGCCTTCTGGAAAATTCACAGAGCTCTGAGATCTCAGCCCCACGTTCACAAGTGTTCAACCTGGGGAAGAGCGACATTCAGGGTTTTCAGTATTTGAGTCTTTTCCATTTTTCTGCAGCTGGTTGTTTCTGCTAAATACCAATAAAGAGCTGAATGCACCAGTTTCTGATGCTTTTCTACTTGATTTTGTACTTAGTGTGCACTGAGGTCACAGAAGTCCCACACCTGCAGATAATTTCCTGTTTCTGTTTATTTTCTCCTTGTTAAAGACTCTGCTCTGCCAGGAATAAATTCTGTTATTAGTTCTGGTCAGCAGCCCTTTGTGTAATGCCAGGGTACAACTAACATCCATCCAACTAGATGGAGCCAATCACCGCTGACACTGGACAAGAGGCGGGGTCCACCCTGAACAGGTTGCCAGTCCATCACAGGACACAACTAACATTTATTTTATTGATTAATCTCTTGATTATTTTCTTGATTCATTGATTAGTCATCCGCTCTACAAAATAGCATAAAAGAAGAAAAAGCAGCTTGCTAAAGCCCAAGGTGACATTTTCAAGCTTCCAGTTTGACCAACAGTCTAAAACCCAAACATCCAGCCTCATACATGTGATGCCAGAACAAGATCAACCATGTTTGGCATTTTTGCTAAAAAAAAAACTGCTGCCAAATCATTTTCCTGTTAATCAACTAATTTGTTAGTTTAATCTGAAATATAAGACACACTCCTAGACAACAATGCACAAGACACGAGCTCTCTGTGTTTCAGACTTGTGTTGTTCGCTGGCATTCGGTTATCGATGTCTGTCCTCAGTTAACTGTCCTGTGGTGTTTTTAATGCTGTGTGGTTAAGCCAGACACAATTTTCCAACTTGTTTTCAAGGTTCTGGAGGTTTTTCTGGTCGAGACAGTCTCGTGCGAACATCTTATAGAACAAGAACGGACTTTCACACACATTTACTCACACTAGATTCTGCTGGTTGGTTGTTCACTGCAGAGAAAATGAGCACTCAAAGCTCAGGACTGGGCTCTGTCTGTGACACCGTTGTTAGGT